CTTTATATAAAAAACAACCAAATATATCAAACCATCATTAGACCCCATTTTTCTTCTTAATGCTTTGCTCTTGTTTAACACAAATAAACTCATTCATGTTTATTTGTGTGACTATAAAATATACAATTCAAATTTAAGTTGATAAAAAAATAAATAAAAAATTTCAAAAATTTGTTTTGTGTATGAAGGCAAAAAAAGGGTTTAGGTAAAAGAATAAAATAAAAACTTATTATTATTACGTTTCTGTTTTGAACGTGTTAAAGTTAATTTATCCAACCCGATGGTAAGATGTTGTACAAATGATAATTTCGATCTTTGTTGCCTATAAAAATAAATTAAATTGATTATGATCATTTTTTATGTATTTTATATCATATTTTTTTAATATATTCAAATTTTTTAAATAATATGTTTTTAATTTTTATTTTTTTATTAAACATAGTGTCGTTTTCGTTTAAAAATTTATTGAAACATGTTTTGTGCAATTTGTTTTTTATTTATGATAAGTAATAAATATATTTACAATAAGATGAATATTGCCGCTCATTGTAATGATTGTTCATCAATCATTATTGAATTTTTTATTTTTTTTTTCTAAAAGGCCGAAATTGTTTTAACCAATAACATTAAAATGATATTTATTTAATTATTTTTTGTAAACAAAACCAAAATTCCAGAACTTAGAAGTATTAACTCAATAATCAATATTAACTTAACACACCCATTTTTTCCTATTAATAGAGTAATATAAATAAAAAATATTTCATTGAATAAAAATAAATATTAATGTTAAATAAAGTTTCAATTGGTAATATTTGGTTAATATTGCCATTAAAAACAAAAATAACACATTTAAATTTCAATCGTTTTTCAAACTTAAATAAGTGGCGTTTTCAATTATTCACATAACAAAGTTATCAACACTGTTAAACCTTTTTAAATATAAACAAAAAATGATATTAATACAAATGTAATTGTTGAATGTAATTTCCAGTTGAAAATGATTGTTAATGGCATTGTTATTCATAAATATTGATTGCAACTTACATACAATTCGTGTGACATTTTGTTAAAACAAAGAAAAATCAAATACACACAATTGTTATTAATTTAATTGTGTAACTAAGTCGATGTTCACTTTTTTCATTAAACAGTATTTTGTTTTAATTACAAATAAGAGAGTTATTATTTTCAATTATTTTTTTTAATTTAGTTTAAAAATTTTTCATATTACAACACACAACAGTAAACACATGTATTTTATTGACACAACAACATTAATGATAAAGTTGAAATAGAAATAGAAACACCTATTTAATAATAATATCAATAATTTAATTACAACAGTTGGTGTATATTGTTATACTGTATATTGCTACACTTTTCATTTAAAAAACAACCTAAAATTAAAAAGTGGTAACTTTTTAGTGTGTAAACATGTAAAATCAAACTAAAACACTAAAATTAAGAGAATATCATAATTTACAACAATTTTAAGTTCAGACTTATGGCTCGTGTGTATGTGCACATAAGATATTATAATCAATTTTTGGTAGTTTAATGGTTAAAAGGGATATAACTAGTATATTAAGTTTTGATAAATCCACATTTATTTATTTGTATAAAATATATTTAAAAAATATCAAGGTGTATTTTCAACAATTGTTTGACAAACGTTTTTGTTTAAAAAGGGGGTATTTTAATAAAAAACATTTTTAAATTATTTCACTTGTGTCAAATAATTTCAAATTTATTTGACATCAATAGCATTTGATTATTTATCATTTGTAGTTGTTATTATATAATCAAATATAACGTTACTTATTTTTGATTTCTCAACATCATTTTATAATATAAATACACATAGTTTAATCATGTTTATTTTACTTTTTTATTTTTGAACAAATTGATGTAATTTAGTGTTTTTAGAACATTTTTTATTATTTCAATCGTTATAATATTTTATTCAAGACTTTTTTTATCACCTTTAAGTTGTGTCTTGACAACAATCGTTTTACATCCGTATTTATTATTTCATTTGATTGTTATTATTGGCGTTACACATCAAGTATACTCTTTGTTAAAACAGTTTTATTTTATCGATTATTTTGTTTGTTATATTTCACGTTTTTATTTTTATTTTCAAATTAATAAATTTGGTTAAAAGAAAAAACAAATGGTCAACATAAAAATAAAATGAAATAAAATCTATTTTTATATGGTTAACCTTAAAATGATTGCTGAGTTAACACCTCTTAAATAGTTCTATTTGGCGAAAACATTTTACCAAATAGTTT